TAAAAGCTTTCTGTTGTGTTCCTCAGGTCCTACCACGGCAATTCAGGTGACTGCAGAGAGAGAGAAAAGCCAGCAGAGATTGAGAATTACGCCGCACCACCCCCTCCGCTCATGACAGGAGCCAATCCTGACTGCAGACGGAGATCTACTGCTGCTGCCACCAGGAACCACAAGTCTGTATCTGTTTCTCCCTGTCCCACTGAGCCAGGGGAGCACAGCCCCACACAGCCCCCGGCTGCAGCACCAGTTAAACAGCAAGAAATCGACTCCCAGATCTCCTTCACTGGTTCCCAGAGTGACGTCCTTAACCAGTGCCCTTCAAACTTTGAACCTAACCCAACTTTTCATCCCACCTCCTCTGCAAAGACGGATTGTGAGCAGGGCAAAGGACAAGAGGCAGAACATCATCCATCAACATCCAATCCTCAGCCTGTCTCCTCTGCCCAGGCTTCCTCCTACAGACCTTCAGGGCTTTTCGGCATGGAGGGGCAGCGCTCTCCCTCTCCACATTTCTCTCCGCAGAGACTCAGCGACAAGCCTCCGGTGTCTCTTCACGCAGACGAATCAAACAGGTAACGTTTGGGCTTCAGCGGGACCAGGGTTTGTTTGGAAAAAGCAGCAGTTTTAGATGCTGCTGTGTCTTAATGCTGCATGTACAGAGGAGAATAATGGGAGGCACTGTTTCTGTAGTAGCAACATGTGAGTGCCATCAAGCTGTGGTAACTTAGGAGGATTCTCTGCATTTTTCTATTTGGATAATTCTTCTAAATGCTAAAAAAAATGGTTTGTTTATTCTTTTATTCCACATTTCAATCAAATCAGTGTCATCTGTTGTGAATTTTAGACCCTGTAGACAGATTAGAGCTGCAGTTTGTTGAAACCAAAAGGGTAGGAGGAGTCTACTTGCCCTGGATATTCCAGCACATTGGGCATGGAAAAAATTCCAGCTGCCAACATGCGGCCAAACTGAAATCAAATCATGGCTTCAAGGAGAGGCCTCTTCCAGAGAAAGAGTATCTTTAAATATCTCTGCATTTGATTCTCTTTCAGGGTGGAGCATTTGATAGAAAACCAGAATACCGCAGCAAGAAAAGTTCCCATCAGGATCGTACACTCAGAAGGAAGTGAAGAGAAAGAGAACTCCCCGTTTCTCCAGCAGAGTGACCTCCCTCACAGCGAGGCCGGGGGCCAAAGTGTGGCCAGGCTCGGTGCTCTGCCAGCTCTGGGACAGGACTCTGTTTTCTGTGCCTTTACCCGACAGAGGGAGCCAGAAAACAGCCCAGAACCTGAGGTGCAGCAGAGAGACCCATACATGACCACTTTGGGAGATTATCCAAGCTCCAACAGTGAGGAGCTCAGCAGTAAGGAAGAAGGACTGAGTGAGAGGGAGGAACAGAAGAGAGAGGAGTTGGCCCGGGACATCATGGGGAAGGATAAATCACTGGTTGATATTCTGGATCAGAGCAAGATGAGGACCACTATGGACCTGATGGAGGGGATCTTCCCTCAGGGGGAGCAGCTGTTGGATGGAGCCCACCAGCGCAGGAAGATACAGACCAAGCAGACCAAGCCAGCCGAAGGGAGGTGAGCATCACGTGGCTTTTGGATCAGAACCCAGTGAGCTCTGGTCATCAATCTCCAGTTCAACCCTGAGAAATCAGCGTGTTTTAATCCTCATTCCTTATTCTTCAATCTGCTTGTTGCTTTCATGATTTTTTTTATGATAGACACACAGAAATCGACAGCCTTCCCTCGGTTAGATGAACTGCAAAAACATTCTGAAAATGAGTAAAAACTTCTTCAAATAAGTGTATTTAATCTTAATTTGAGTATGGAAAATAAGATGATCTGCCAATAGAAGGAGCATTTTTAACCTGAGAATAAGATAATTTTACATTATGCACTTGAAATAAGAGACTGCTGTTTTTTTTTCTTATTTCAAATGTAAATTTTCTTGTTTCATTGGCATAGTGTCTCACTTACCAGCTTAATTGCAGAAAAAAAATGACTTATTTTAAGAAAAATTGACTTAATTAGATTTACATTTTTTGCAGTGTCAGCAGGTCAGAAACCTTTTTATTTGCTTAGAAGAACCGAAAAAGGCCCTGAATAGATGTCGGTTTATATATGAAGACAAAATGCTTCCCCTCTATTTTGATCAAATCAAAACTATATCAGAATTTTAAAATCAGCTTCTTTTTGTGCGAGTTACAGGACCTGTTCTTCTGCTGCAATATTTCACAATGTAAACGATCTTTGACCGCAGCTTTTCATGCTGCCTTCAAACACCTTATGCTGGTTTTTCTGCAGTATTTTGATTCATGGACTAAATTTAACTCAGAAAATGTTGATTATTTAGCTGTTTCTGTTACCGGGCTGCAGGTTTTGGCTCTATTTGCAGTTTTTGCAGCAGAAGTTAATCAGTTTTTATTTAAGATTTCCAGTGAAAGCATCGTGATGCCTTATACTTTATTATTTCCTGCCTTTGGAAAAGAAACACTTGACAGCCATCATTGTGGTGTTTGTTTTACAACAGACTGATTTGCATGTAGATCAGGGGGGAGTTATTTCAGTTTCTGGGGCTGGTATCCTGCAACTTTTAGATTAATCTTAGGTCCAACACTCCAGAATCACAGTGCTGAGTTACCTCCTCAGTATGCAGTCATTTTCTCCAAACTCCACTCATCTAATGACTTGATACAGGTGTGCTGAACCAAAGGTACATCTAAATATTGCAGGATACTACTGAGGTGGATGATGCAACAATGGCTGCTATCGCTGTTCTTTAACAGACCGCTTTGGTGAATTTATTCCTTTAACTTAACTTTGAGAACCAATTAATTGAGCAGGGCTAAGAAATTGAAGTTCCTTTAAAAGCATCAATTTAAAAAGACATAAAAAGGCATCAGCTCCCTTTATTTTGAGGGGGAAGTTTTGGGCATAGTGTCACCTATGTTTTGTTGTGGAGTTTCCCCACATATTACCTGTTTCACCCAACCTATCAATAATATAGTTTGTGTTCTCTGACTCTTTTATTGATGGAGGGCGCAGAGTTTTTTCTTTTCTACTTTAATCAAGTTTTATATGTTTTAAATTAAATTTCAGGGAAAAGGAGGACAAATTGGCGGCAGCAGCCTCCATGGTGACCAGTTCAACATATTACAGCACATCTGCTCCCAAAGCCGAGCTGCTGATCAAAATGAAGGACATGCAGGGACAGGACGAGGAGGAAGACTCTGAGGATGAGCTGGATATTGGCTTGAACAACAAAAAGGTACAAAGGATCGTCTCTGACTCAATCTTTGTAACATCAGTGTAGAAAAGTATTTTTCTGATGGTTTTTTAAAACTGTTTTCCCAATTTAGCAAGAGCTGATTGACAGCCTCAAAAAAAAGCTGCAGGTGCTGCAAGAGGCTAAAGAGAGCCTTCTGGAGGACATCATGGACAACAACGCTCTGGGAGACGAGGTGGAAGCCCGGGTCCAGCAGGTGTGCCGGCCGAATGAGCTGGAGAAGTTCAGGATGTTTGTTGGGGACTTGGACAAAGTGGTGAGCCTGCTGCTGTCCCTCTCAGGCCGCCTGGCCAGGGTGGAAAATGCTCTTAATAATCTGGAGGAGGACGCTGCACCGGAGGAGAGGGTAAGAACTGGAAAGCTACAGCTGCTCATTGATCTGCTCGGTTTGTGAGATTCTTATTTCCTGTGTTTCTTCTTCAGCGTACGCTGATAGAAAAGAGGAAGCTTTTGATCCGCCAACACGAGGATGCAAAGGAGCTAAAGGAAAACCTGGACCGTAGGGAAGGTGTCGTTTGTGACATATTGGCCAACTACCTGCAGGAGGACAGCCTGGCAGACTACGAGCACTTTGTGAAGATGAAGTCGGCGCTCATCATCGAGCAGCGTAAGCTGGAGGACAAAATCAAGCTTGGCGAGGAACAGCTGAAATGTCTGATGGACAGCCTGCCCATCGAGGAAAGACTGGCCTTCTGAAGAAAAGAGCAGCGAGATCATGGCTCCAGCTTTCAGTTCAGCTCCGTCACCAGCAGAGGGAGACAGAGATCTGAACCTGCAGCTGAGAAGCCTGTCTGGGACAAAGGAAAAGTGTTTTTTTTCTGTTTGCTTCACCACTTCACGTCTTTATCGGAATGTTTTGGACTGCATGGGAGGCAGCTCTCAGTCCAGATGCTCCTCCTTGTCAAACCACTATATCTAACATCCCACTGTATTTTTACTTTGTTTGTATCCCTAGTAATTTATTGTAGCCTTTTGAATCTGCATGGAGGGGGGCAGTATCTTGTCATAGCCATGCTACCTGATGCGTGTTACAGTATTTATCGGTCTACAAAAATCCAAATATTTCAGGTAACTTTAAAGCAAACTAGCGTTTTGTTTCCCAGCAGAGTTCCTGTGGCCTTGTCTTTCTTCACCCAACAGAAGCGTCTCTGATCCAGACCTAAAATAGATTTTCTTTGCAGTGGTTGTAGAAACATCACAACAAAGACTCAGTGCTGTTCTTTGTATCCACTGTAGAAACACATTTTTTAAAAATAATTATTACCACTATATATTAGCTAAGTTTTTATATAATTTGTGATATCTTCACTGTGTTTTCTAATGCACTGTGTAGAAGCTGAAAGCACCATTACATTGCTGTCGTCGTTACTTGAATAGTTAAAAAAAAAACGTTGTTTAGGTAAAGCTTTTTAGGGACGGATAAAAGGAAGAAAAAAAAAAACAAAGCGATCTGGTTTTTAATATCAAACCCATGAAGCTTTGTTGGTTAAATCAAGCCTTTCGATCTAAACCCAGACAGAAGCCGTTTGTTTGGCTGCTACAGAAGGTTGCTCCAAGTTTACACACTTTGTACACCGCCACATCCTGACTCTAAACACTTCATCAGCTCTGCTCCCTCTTATGAAATAAAGACTGCTGAAATCACAAGGGCTTCTTCTGTGTGGTCCGTTCCCTCCCCAGAGTCAACCATTAACTCCACCACACCCTTCCCTGCACCGATAAGCTTGAAGGTGACGACGTTGGCGTGACGAAGAATCCTATGAAAAGTCGATGTTGATCATAAGTGAAGGAAAATGTAGAGTTTTGCTCTCATAGACGCATTCAGGGCAAATTGGTTTGAGCTACAAAGTCATCCAGGTGAGTACATGGAGGAGATGTCACTGTGTTTCTGTATAACCTTCAAAGATTCAATAGATAATCATTGACATGGTCAGATCAGACTTCACCTACAGGTGGCTTATTTAAAACTATACTTATTTATTTAAAGGATCTCATTTTAACCTTCAAAGCAGGTGTGTATTGTGAACTCCATACTGTTGACTCCTAGTTTAATATTTACTTCAAGGTAAGAGGTTGAAGCACCAGCGGATCAAAAAAAGTTGCTTCATAACAAAATATCTACGGGTATAAATATAACGCTGCACTTTGGCCTTATGACGTGATTTAATATCTGGATGACGGTTCAAAACAAACTTGTTTTCTGTGGTTAAAGTGGTGTGGAAACTGGTAAAACCAGAATCTATTGGTTTTCTTCATGTTATTTTACCGGAGAAAGGATCTTAACTCCTTCCTTGTTTTGGTTGGTGGATATTTTTTTATGTAGATGAGGAATTTTACTTTTTAAACAATGAATCTGACATTTGTAGAAGAATGTTTCTAGATTATCTATTTCTTAACTCAGGAGGTGAGGAAATCTCAAGATTTGTCTGATCTAGCCTCAAGGACAGCTCTGGGGAGAGGCAATGTGGACTGGAGTTTATTGTTAAAATTAATGAATGTTCAAATGATGCTAGGATATTCAAGATGGCGGCGCTATACAGTAACTATCACTAGGTGGTTTCCATCTGGAGCAGGGCTTGGAAATAGTTTGGTGCTGGTTTAGTGGTAAAACTGGCAGAAATTTATTCATAAAATATAACAAAAAACCTGAAAAATATAAAATAATGTGTTCATTGAAACATTATTGTTTACATTTCATAACAGTAGAAAAGACTAACTATAGAGGCAGAGATCTAAATCCAGTTTACCAGCATGCGTTGAAAGCAACAATGCATTCAGCTCTGAGACTTGATGATCTTTAACCCCCTTATATTCTAATTAAACAGATTGATAAAAGCTCCAGTTTTATTTAAAGAAAAATCGTCTGCCACCTCGCGGCACATAGTCCTATGCTTCGTCCTTGAATGGAAATGGTGGATCACATCTGCAGACAAAGGGTAGAGAACGAAAAGCATTGATCCAAGGAGCTTTAATAAGTCTTTATAGCATACAGGTAAAAGGAAAACCACGTGGGTCACACTGAGGACATCTCTATCAAGGTGACCTGGTCACAGGGGAGCCGACGGGAGTTTGGGGCCCCATGAAAGACATTGATACTGGGTTCTCCACAAAAAAAAAAATGCATGCAAGCTTTAAATCTGCTATGAAGATGCACTGCAGAGTATCTTTTACATTTTCAATCTAATTTTTATTGTAAAATTTATACAAGGAAAATGATCAAAAAGTTAAATATACATTAACTTTACAATTAAGTTTAGTTATGTTTACATTTACATCCTATCAAAATAATAACGGCTCATTTAAAACAAAAAGCACAGCTGTATCTATGCACACATGAATAGAAATAGCTTTAGGATTGTGAGAATATATTCCTATTAGGTTTAAATATAATCTAAGGGACAGATTATTCTTATGTTGGCCATGAGAACTAATTTTTCCTTGTATACGTGTAATGATATAATATGTAATTTTGGTGTGGCTATATCAGGCTGCTCATGAATGATCAAGATTTATAGATTTCTTTTAATGGTTGTAATTTAATCTGAATATAAAATCTAACTAAACTTTTTTTTTTAAATATAGACAGATTTTAATCCAGGTTGCTGGATGGCACCCAATGTACCTCAGCTGTCCAGGATACAGTTTAAATAACTGGAGGCCATTTCATTTTAGAGAAAAAAAAGTTCTCCAATTTTATATATATATATATATATATATATATATATATATATATATATATATATATATATATATATATATATATATATATATATATATACACTAGCGTTCAAAAGTTTGGGATAACCCAAACGATTTTGTGTTTTCCTGAAAAGTCACACTTATTCACCACCATACGTTGTGAAATTAATAGAAAATGGAGTCAAGACATTGACAAGGTTGGAAAAAAGGATTTGTATTTGAAATAAGATTTTTTTTTTTTTACATCAAACTTTGCTTTCGTCAAAGAATCCTCCATTTGCAGCAATTCCAGCATTGCAGACCTTTGGCATTCTAGCTGTTAATTTGTTGAGGTAATCTGGAGAAATTGCCCCCCACGCTTCCAGAAGCAGCTCCCACCAGTTGGATTGGTTGGATGGGCACTTCTTGCGTTCCATACGGTCAAGCTGCTCCCACAACAGCTCAATGGGGTTCAGATCTGGTAACTGCGCTGGCCACTCCATTACCCATTGAATACCAGCTGCCTGCTTCTGCTATAAATAGTTCTTGCACAATTTGGAGGTGTGTTTAGGGTCATTGTCCTGTTGTACGATGAAACTGGCTCCAATCAAGTGCTGTCCACCGGGTAAGACATGGCGTTGCAAAATGGAGTGATAGCCTTCCTTATTCAGAATCCCTTTTACCCTGTACAAATCTCCCACCTTACCAGCAACAAAGCAACCCCAGACCATCACATTACCTCCACCATGCTTAACAGATGGCGTCATGCATTCTTCCAGCATCTTTTCATTTGTTCTGTGTCTCACAAACGTTCTTCTTTGTGATCCAAACACCTCAAACTTGGATTCATCCGTCCACAACACTTTTTTCCAGTCTTCCTCTGTCTAATGTCTGTGTTATTTTGCCCATCTTGATCTTTTTCTTTTATTGGCCAGTCTCAGATATGGCTTTTTCTTTAGCACTCTGCTCTGAAGCCCAGAATCTCGCAACCACCTCTTCACTGTAGATGTTGACACTGGTGTTTTCCAGGTACTATTTAATGAAGATGCCAGTTGGGGACCTGTGAGGCATCTGTTTCTCAAACTAGAGACTCTAATGCACTTATCTTCTTGCTCAGTTGTGCAACACGGCCTCCCACTTCTTTTTCTACTCTGGTTAGAGCCTGTTTGTGCTGTCCTCTCAAGGGAGTAGTACACACTGGTGTAGGAAATCTTAAATTTCTTAGCAATTTCTTGCTTGGAATAGCCTTCATTTCTAAGAACAAGAATAGACTGTCGAGTTTCAGATGAAAGTTCTCTTTTTCTGGCCATTTTGAACGTTTAATTTACCCCAAAAATGTCATGCTTCAGAAACTCAATCTGCTCAAAGGAAGGTCAGTTTTGTAGCTTCTGTAGCGAGCTAAACTGTTTTCAGATGGGTTTTCTAATCATCATTTAGCCTTCTGAGCCAATGAGCAAACACATTGTACCATTAGAACACTGGAGTGATAGTTGCTGTAAATGGGCCTCTATACACCTATGTAGATATATATTGCACCAAAAACCAGACATTTCCAGCTAGAATAGTCATTTACCACATTAGCAATGTATAGAGTGTATTTAGTTAGAGTTAAGACCAGTTTGAAGTTATCTTCATTGAAAAGTACAGTGCTTTTCCTTTAAAAATAAGGACATTTCAATGTGACCCCAAACTTTTGAACGGAAGTGTATATATATATATATATATATATATATATATATATATATATATATAAAGAATTGTATTAAATTTTTTGTAATGGTAAACAGAGGAAAATGACTGTACTGATGCAAACTGGCCTTTCCCTGAACACATTGGGAGAGGGAGGCGGGTGGGGGGTTGAATCACTGCAAGAAGGACAATAGTGGTTATTATATATATTTTATATTGTACCATTTATTATAGATAATTATTTATATAATAAATGAATATTTGTTTTTCTTTCGCTGTTTACTGCTGAAAAATGAGGGAGAACACAAAGATCATTTATTTCATTGCTGGATTTTATTCTTACACTGGAAAAAATCAAAATCTAGATAAGTCATTTTTTCTTAAAATAAGTGCATTTCTTAAATTGAGGAGATTAAAGAGGCATTTTGCCAATGGAACAAGACAATTTAGATTTAAAATAAAAAAACACAACTGCATCTTCTTATTTCAAGTGAATTTTATCTAAATGTCTTATTTTAAGGGTAAAAATGCTCATTCCATTGGCATATTATCAAATTTACCTATTCAAATCAAGGGTAAATACACTTAATTTAAGAAATGTTTACTTATTTCTAGTTCAAAAAAGTACTCCAGGGTGTTGTTCAGCATGGGGGTGAGTAGAAAATGAAGGCTAATCATGTTTTGGGTGTACTATTCCTTTAAGTCCCCCCACCCCCCACCCCCCCAGCAGCAGAAAAGCTGCTCAGAGATGTCGGTTAGAAAAACTATGGGGACGACAGAAGACTTAAGACTGAGGTGGAGTCTCATCCTGAAACAGGGCTCTTCACATTCATGCTTTAGAACGGCCTAGTCAAAGTACAGATATACACCTAAATGTGTAGAGAGTAGAAAAAGGTTGCTCAGAGATACTTTAGTCAGATTTCTACAAAGTATCGACTCAGAAGATTTACATGGAGTCGGTATGTGAACTTTAAAAAGCTTAGTGTGTGATTTTCAAACCTTGCTTTGTTTTCTGTCCAGCAGCAGTAATGACACCCTGCAGCCTCTTGTTTTGAGCATCAGCAGCCCCCCCAGGATCAGGGATGATCTACCTGGCTCACACAGCACACTGGCAGTTCCTGGGACTTTTGTCCGGGGTCCTGGCATGGCTCTTCATCATGGTAACATCCGGCATCAACGAGTGGCGGCTCTGGTACGTGGAGGACGCCACTGTCATCACCTCAGGCGTGGCCTGGGTGGGAATCTGGAGGGCGTGCTTCTACAGTCACGTCCTGCCGGACACTGAGAACTGCCAGAGCATCAGCATCTCAGACAGTTTCCTCCCACCTGAGATCCCCTTGGCTCAGGTGCTGATGATGCTGGCGGTGATCTCCGGCCTGGTGGGGAACATCAGTGCAGCTTTGGCCATGAGGATGGCTTACTTCTCGGTGGAGGACCGCAGGAAGATGAGGACGGTCTTTGTCCTGTCTGGGGCTCTATATTTGATCACAGCAGTGTTCTCCTTGGTGCCTCTGGTGTGGAACATGACCTCCGTTTTGAAGAACAACACCATCGACTTTCCTGTAGAGTTCAACCTCCCTGCGGCGCCTATCAGGCAGAGTGTTGGAGCAGCGATCGCAGTTGGCATCATGGCTTCCATCCTACTAATTATCAGTGGGGTGATCTTCCTCTGCTACAGGTCCTCATCGCAGCCCTTGAAGCAAACTGCAGACCCACTCAATGGTCCGTGGACAGAGACAACACTGCAGAAGAAGGCCGAGCGGCCAAACGCACAGAGCCAAGGGATGGACAATCAGGGGTTCCACCGTGAAGAAAACTAATGATGCTCTGGCATCTTAAGGACTTACATTTCAAGAACACCTTTATTCAACTGTTTGTCACCTTATTCATCACCTCCACAAGAAAAAACTACTAAAACACAACAGCAGCAAGCACATTTCTGCAGAAAGGGGTCAAAATGAAGTCAGCTTCTGTCAGTCTAGATTTTTTTTTCCAGTGTTATTTTAGTTGGAGGCAGCAATTGTATTATTTACTATCATATCGACATACTTCCTGGTATTTTCTCACTATTGTACCAGATATCTTTATTCCAATCCTCTTCATGGCCTTAGAGTGTATTAATGAATAAAAATGATCATAAAGAACAAGGGAAGCAACAGACAAATTCAAGGTGAAAGTGTTGGAAAAGTTTAAAACAGGGTTAGGTTATAAATCAATGTTATGTTGATCATCTCCCAGAGCTCCGTTTAATCCATTACCTGCTAATGAGAAGAATAGAACTCAACTAAAAAAGTGAAAATGCTGGCAGGATGCTTCCCTTCAACAGGTAACAGTTACAGCTGCTCAGAGATGATGTGAAGATGACTGCAGCTGAGGACAGTTTAGTTAAAAGCTGCAGACCTAAAATTCAAGAGCCTGCAACATACAGATCGACAGTGTAAATAAGAGCAAAACATATTCAGTGTTAGAATGGCCTAGTCAAAGTTCATACCTGCATCCAGTTAAAAAGTAATTGAAAAAAGGACTGAATCCAGTGGAAAAAACATTAAGAAAGGCACTTAGCTTCAGCTATTTCTTAAAATTCATATGATCATAACAAACTGTCAATTAATACATTTTATTTTTTCATTTTATATATATATATATATATATATATATATATATATATATATATATATATATATATATATATATATATATATATATATATATATATTGTCCTTACGTTTAAAGGACAGGAAACTGTTTTGTGGAAGTGATGTAAACACATCTTATGTTGATATGAGAATTATAGCTTTAGGTTCAAAAGTTCAGAAAAGAGTCATAAAATAAGAATAGATAGTTAAATAATGTGTAACAAATTGTAAAAAAAAAAAAAAAAAAAAAAGAATATATCTGAATAAAAATCTACATTTAACTAATTTTAAAATTTGTCCAACAGACATCGTTCGGACGTGGATTGAGTATTGTCTGAAATGTTAATGTAGCGTTGTCCATGTGCTGTTTCCCCTCCTTCCAGTGATGTGAACCTTCCTCTGATGAACACATGAGGCCATCATGAGGTTCAGGGTAATAAAGGAGTGTTTCATGAACGATAACAAAGCCAGGAAAGCTGTCTGTATGTGTGGGTGTAAGTTACGTGTGACGGCTCATCGGTTTCATCACACTGAAGGCGTGTTGGAGGCGCCAAGGTGTGGATTTCTGATGGCCTCCATGTCAGATAGCCTATCTGTAAGTCAGGTTGACTCGGGGGCCCTACTCGTGTAATCTGTGTAGAACGATGGCAGGCATGTGAGTGCAGAGAGAGAGAGGCATGAGAACAGGCACACACTGATCCAGTGGCTTTCTGCACCTCTCTGCAGGAGGCAGCTGGGTGAAAAACAAACGCTCCTCTTGACTTCTCTGAATCCACAGAGTGGATTAATGCTTGGAACAGCTCTGACCCTCACAGAAATGCCTTGAGGTGCGTTATGACAGACTTCAAAATGTTCACCCATTAACATAATTGCTCAAGAACATTCCTACAGACTATATATTTGGAGAAAGCTATTTAAACAGTTATCCATCAAATCCTTCCTCCTTGAGCAGCCTCCCTACACATAATCTACACTCCCCTCTGCAGATAACACCGACATAACACACACACAGCTTGTGTTGAGATGTCTCACACACATTGACTCAGTGATAAAACATGGTAAGGAAAATAAAAAGGACTCCTGTGATTGATGCACGTGATTTAGAGCATTTGAATCACTGCAATTCTCCCTAAAGCGAGCAAACTGAATAACAGTTGTGCAGAAATGTTGGCGTTTTTCTGCAGTAAATAAAAGATCAAAGTGAGATAACTGGTGGTAGAGTTCAGGGAGGAAGAGCTCTTTTTTAATGTTCCTCAGAGATTAGTGCCATCTTCAACAGACATCAAGATCACATATGATTTACTGCAGTGGTGGAAAATAAGAGTCGCTGCTTTAGAGCCTTTAAATGTTTCTATAAAATAACCTGATGGATGATTTTGAAAGGATGCAGACGACAAAGCAGATAAAAACATCTGTAAACAGTGGAAATATTTTCTAATATATGTGAGACGATATCTGTCCTCCAAAAGCCAGTCTGCACTGCAAAACATTAAAGTCTAAGTAAGTTGAATTGAGGAGGAAAGTGAGACATTTTGCCAATGGAATGAGACAATTTACATTTAAAATGAAAAAAAAAACAAAAAAAACAATTGCATTGTCTTATTTCAAGTGAATATTATCTAATTATCCTATTCTAAAAGTGAAAATGCTCATCCCATTGGGCAAACTGTCTCATTTACCTACTCCAGTTAAGGGTAAATACACTTAATTTAAGACAGTTTTACTTATTTCTAGATCATTTTTCCAGTCTGGTAATGACTGTGTCTTCCACAGGTAGTTTTACAGTTGATAATTCGTTCTGATTACATAACAGGTCTTAAAGTTCAATATTCCCACTCTGATTCATTTTATAACATCACATTTTTCTTTTATGATTATAGTAATTGAAGCTATAATTCTGATGCAATCACCACCGGACCTCAGTCTATGGAGAATTCAACGCTGTGCCCACATGGATGCACAAATGTATTAGTTCTGGAGTTGAGAAGCGGCAGCCTGTAGGTCTAACCAACTCTGTGAATGTATAATTATTAAAATCCACCATATTTGTTTTGTCCTCGTTTACAGATCTTCTTGCCGTGTCTTGCTAGCCCAACCCAAAAAGGTTCATCCTGAGGGAGGCTGTTTAATCCAGGCAGAGGTGTCATGTAATGAAGTACAAATATTTCATTACTGTACTTAAGTACATTTATGAGTAATCTATACTTTACTCCTTTACTAATTTTTGAACTGAGATGGAGACCAACAAAACCTCCCTCATCCTTGGCCCTACCTCAGAGAATTTTTCCAAATAGTCGAAAAATTTAGCTGTCAATTCATAAAGTGGCATCTGGCTGTTTTTTTTAAGGTTACTTTATATTTTTATACTTTAAGTAGTTTTTGGAGCACATACTTTTTCACTTTTACTTGAGTAAAGAGGTGAAGTTGATACTTCAACTTTTACCAGAGTGTTTTTAAACTGCAGTATCTATACTTCTACTTCAGTAACAAATGTGTGAACTTTTGACACCACTGCATTCAGGATGTGTGGTCTGCAGAGATGACAGCAGCCTGTTTTCCCAACTCGGCTCAGTGCTACGGGTTTAAATCACACATATCATGATGATTTGATTCAGTATCAATTTCCTGACCCAACGTTTTGATTATTTCGATACTCAAGAATCCGCCATGTCTATCTTGACTACTGTTTACGCGAGTGTGTGCATGCAGAAAGAGGGTAATGGCTAAAGGAAGTGAGGTAGGAGGGCAAAATAGGTTTAGCACGGGAGTCAGAATTACGTCCAGGAGCAAATGGATAAAAATAGACCGGTGGACAAAAAAAACATGAATCGATACTCTTGCGGACGTATCGATGCATCGGATAGTTGGATGTTGGATTGATACAAAACCATCATCATTTACACCCCTAGTCAGTACCATAAAGACTGGTCCTCACCTGTTCTGTAGTGAAACCTAACAGTATCCGATGGAAACTGGCTGGCTGGCCATATTGAGGTTTGGGAAGATTTGGTTAGCTTGTGGTTTTTCATTTTTACCCCATTAAACGCAGCCCCAAAAGAAAAGAAATATGAACAGATCAAATTAGTAATAATGCTAAAAAGAATGGAGAAAACTATGGACTCCACATAGAAACTAAGAACTTAAAAAGTTTGTGCAGGATGTATGAATGAAAATACTTTCGTTAAAAGGCTAAGGCAGTGGAGTCCAAACATTTAGGCTATGGGGGTTAAAAAATGTCTTGTATTCAGGGGACAAAAAATATTAATCAAAATGATTTTTAAAAACGTTTTTTTATTTAATTTTATTTTTTTACCTGCTAAATAGTGAACTAAAGCATAGGATATTTGAACAAAACAAGTAAATTAGTTTGATTTTCGTGGAACAAGGATCAATACATGATTGTAGATTCAAACTCTAAATAATCTCTAAAGGTTTGGTTTTAAAGGGAATCTAAGAGAGCAGTTTCAGAGGTAGGAAAGCGAAAGTATCTTAATTCAGGGGTCTTCAACATTTTCCAGGCCAAGGACCCCAAACTGATGGTGAGATGGAGCAGGGACCCCCTAATTATATATATTGTATGAAATTGTGTTCTATCAAACTGGTCCTATAGTCACTCTATTACAGATGGAGTCATGTAATGAAAGTAATTTCTCCCTGGGATTATTAAAGTATTTCTGATTCCTGGTTGATGGGACAGGTGTTGTGAATGAAACGGTGCCAAGCTTGAAAGAGCTCCTGTGTGTCGCTGAATGTGTGCATTGATGACTGAAAGACATCTTCTGCCTCCATTGATCTGTTTACTACAGTCTGGTGAATTCATGTTAATGTGGATTTAAAGACATTTCAATTAGTGGAAAAAAATTGAAGGGGGGGATATAAAAAAAAGTCTAATCAACCAAAATTTTCGCAACCCCCATGCAGTACCTCTGTGGACCGCCTAGGGGTTGCAGACCCCCTGTTGAAGACCTCCGTCTTGAACCGTAAATTTTGTTGCACTGACATTGATCTAAAAAAACAGAGGCCAAGTAGGTAAGAAGAATCTTATGTATTTATGGTATTATCCATAATACTATCCATGCACCAGTGATGGCAAATAAATAACATAAAAACTTTACAGAAGATTAACTGGCTTTATAATTTCTAAGTAAAAAAAATTACTTGACCTTTACTGCCAGACCTTGAATCATCCAGATAAAATTGATCCTGAAAGGGACCTTCTCACTTTATAGATTTCTACACTAGTAGCATACAAGACCTTCCTATTAGATTAAGGCGCCCTGCTAGATTCTTTTATTTCAATTTTGTATTTTACACTTTGTTCTGATGTATTTGTTTAAAAAACTCAAACTGTTTGTATATTTACCTAAACATGACCTCATGACCCGAGGTACGATATTGAAGGTGAGGACTGAGGGAATAAAACATTAATGGAGTCCAGCGGGATAGCATTTCCCCAGCGGGGGTGTGAGAAAAAAGAGGAAAAGTCCAAGATCAAGTGTGAAAAAAGTGAAAAATATTGGTTGATAAGTGGGATAACAGAGAGGTAGTAGTGTTTGTTGAAGCCAAGCTGATGAATGTGTGAGTATTGCTAGCAAATGGTGACAGTGTTTTTATATGTGCTGATTGAGCCCAGCACAAAAATAGTTTTCAGGATCCTAAAGATCCAAGTAAACACTATGAGGACAAATGCTTGGTATATATCACTTTAATCTATTTTGGGGTTTTTAATAGGCATAGTACATAACTGGGTCCATTTGAAACACTTTTTAAAAAGTGTCTATCTGCATCATCATGCGCCGGAACATTAGATTTTTTTAAAATTCAATCCAACAGTCAGACATGGCCACAGTTCACGCCTTTGGCATCCATGGACCAGTCTCTATCAGCTGTCAGTCTGGGTTGCTGCTGCTGCTACTTTTAGACACAGCAGGCAAACCTGTGTCAAGCCAGGCGATGGTAAAGAAGGAGAAGATGTTGAGAAAAAGAGCAGAGAAAGTGTCGACTGCTGGAAGAACTGTGGTGAACTGGTGACAGAAAACTGCAATGGTGTGCTCCTATTTTGAGTATGTTTGGCTCAACCTGCTGCTGTGAAGCAGGATTCTCCACCATGAACATAATCAAAAGTAAAAATGGATCCAGGCTCAGAATGGCCGCCTTGATATGTGCTTTAGAATGGCTTTGTCTCCATTCAAACCCAGGTTTAAAGCCTTGCAGGGCAGCATAAAGTCCACTGCTCTCATTAAGCCAGAAAAAAGAAAGAAAACAATATGCTCAGTTCAGGTGTTTTATAAAATATGTTTTTTTAAATATTTTTTTCTTTAAAAAGTCAATGTATAACATGCATGTTTTAACACCATTTTATTTCAGTGTTAAATTCCGTTTAAATTAACAGATTATAATTAAAAATGTCTCCGGACCTTTACTGGTTGATGATTTTCTTTATTCGGATGCTGCTGATTTTTAATTGGTCTCCTCCGTTATAGAGGTAGGGGTTGATCGTTGCATGCTCATAATCGAAAACATTGTTGAAAAGTCTTGGGTTTTCCTCAGTTTTCCTCAGGTCATGCAGGGGACACAGAAAATGTGTTAAAAGATGCTCTAAATAGGCTAAAACTCAACTTGGTGGCGTGCATGTGTGGAAAACTCATGTAGCATAATGCTATGGATATAGTATTTCATCATTGCATAAATAAAGACATAAAGATTGAGCAATTAGGTTTGAAAGAAAATCTGTTAAAGAATAGGGAAGATATTCGCCTTTAAGCAGGAAGACAATTACACTGTCAGAGCTTTAAACGACATAAAGGTCTGTTTCTGGAAGCCAAAGTCCCCACATATCACAGAAACTTGATTTTTTTATTTATTGAATTATCCCTATCTTGTTATTCAACTGAGTCAGTGTTCAGCAGCTTGTTTATCCAACCCTCGGTTCCTTTGAAATTTGTTTGTTTGCGTTCGGATGTATTTAGACATAATCTGTCATGAAAAAGAGATGTAATTTCCTTCCAGTTCCAGCACTGCCCAAACTCATAGGAGCTAGAAACGGGACAATCCACAGGAGAATCCCCACCGAGGATTTTGGACCCTTCCTGCATCTAATAGCCTCCATCTGGGATACAGTAGGCCCTCCCTGACAATTCTATGGAGGACACAAACTGAAAAACTTACAAATAAATGTAAATAAATAAATAAATAAATGAAATACATCAACATTCCATGAAATAAAAAGTTAGAAAATTAGAGCTGACTGCTACAATTTATTAATTTTCATCATCCTTATTGTATTTATATATTTTTTTTTCAGGTACAACTGAGATAAGGAATGCAAGAAGTAAAAAAGAAATAATGAAATGACAAAAAGAAGCAAAAATTAAGTAATTTGCAGAGCTTTGTGAACCTCAAATGATTGTAGTATTTTACTTTTCTTTTGCCTCCCTCAGCAGTCGGTGGGATTTTTTTTATTCTTCATTATGATTCTCAGTGTTTGCACAAAGTGTGTGCCCTTAAAACCATAAAGCACACTAACTTTACACTTTACCCCACAGAGATACATCAAAACAATCTCCTGATTGGCTGATCAGTCCCTTTTGATGACTCCTCCCCTTCTCTGTCTAATAGGAAGTAGGGAGAGGCTGATGTGTGTTTCAGAGGAACAAACCAGACACCACCAATCAGAAAAACTCACAAGAAGAGAAAAGACAATCAGAGGAAATTTATTGATACAATTACTTGGTCTTTGGCGCTCAGACCTCGGCAGAAAACATGGCGCTGATTTTGATTGATATGCATGAACTGGAGTATAGAACAGGGCTGTTTTCCCCCAGGCCTGAAACTGGTGGTGGAGTGAAGATAGATGAAGTTGGTCAGTCTGTAGACTGCTGGTTAGTGAGACGGTCTGCTGAGCTTTATGGGGAGATCCAGTGGACTGCATGACCTGATACTAGAGCTTCACTCAGGGACCTGGAAGATGGAATCCAGTTTGGATAACACAGGTTCAGAGAACCTGTACATGATGAGCAAGCATGAAGCGACAGTAGAGAGGAAAAACTCAACATGGCAGTCTTCTGCTGGACTGGTTGAAATGAGACGCAGAATGCAGTAAGAGTCCGAGAGGAATGAAACTCTGATGAAGTTTTAGCTACGATGGTGGAGGAGGGGCAGGAGGTGGGTTGAAACGGCCGGGGTCATCTGAATGAAGTCACACAGTGCAACCACCGCCTGCGCACAGGAGCAGAGTAGTTGCGGATCAGAGGCCTTTTAAGATGAGATTTGGATACCGATTGGCTTTCGTGGAGGCGTGGTTCATAGCTGATTGGCTTTGTCGAAGGTGGATGTAGGAAAGCCATCAGTTTCCTCAGTTGAAATTCCTCCTCGGCTCCATTTGTCTGTCAAAGAAGCTGAGCTAAACAGAGTCAGAACCAAGACTGATCACACTGCTGGGACAAGGTCCATTTTCTTCATACTGTTTTTTTTTTTTTTTAAGGGCATTTCATCCCTGTGCTGTGTTTCCTGAGCTCGTACCATCATCAGTGACCCCTCTCACCCCCACCATGGACTGTTCTCCCTGCTGTCCTCTGGGAAGACACTTTGCAGCATTTGATGCTGGACCAGTAGGTTCTGCAGCAGCTTTTTCCCCGCTACCATCCGACCGTTGAACTGTTGAAATTCTAAACTGGACTCTGCATCACACTTGCACCATTATCTTGCAATACCAAGGTGTCGAACTTTTATAGTATTTTAAATAGGACACAACTCAAATGTTCTACTGCATTTTTATTTTTGCACTGCACTAAACCATATCATATCAATGCCCTTTTGCACCATTATCTAAACTGTTCTCTTTTTTTCTCCTACATTGTGTACACTCTGATCACTGCTGCACTTTTATTGGTAATGTTTATCTTTCTCCAATTGCAATCTCATTACACTATCCTAAGCTGTATGCATGTTGTTTTACATACACTATGCATACAAAATGTCTTTAAGTCTTTAACTACATGTCTGCTCTGTTTTAAAGCCTTCAGTTGTTTCTTTGAAGAAATGTACCCAATTTGTTGTCAATGTGAGGTATCTCCCTGACTTATCCAAGGGGAGGAGGGGTCAAAAAAATAGTGAATAAGATTGAAAAAAGTAGGTAACCTTGATAAATATGAAAATAAAAGACAAATATCACTCAGGAGAACGAAACTGCTTAAACCAAAGCTGCAAACACAGATGTATAAAGATGGTATCAGATGTTATAATGTGGCGTCTCACTCTGTTCTAAGCACCTCTGGGAGGCTCAAAGGAGCCACAGTTAGAGCGTTAGAAGTAAAGTCTGTGCTGCCTCGGGCCCCTCAGGAGACGTGCTTGTGTGACAACATCATTACCTAGTATTAACTTCATTCTGTAAGCGCTGACTCCTCAGAAAGCATATAAGGTTCATAAATCGTCCAACTCCCTTACTTTAACACATTTCGTCCACCGTACCTGTGTGTATGAAAGCGATGTGGAGCAGTTTGGCCTGCAGCGACACACTCTGACCCCTGGCAAATTTGTGTAATTATGTCAACGTGTGCTGCATTCTTCGACCATTAAAGTATTCATTAAACACAGCTTAGCTCTGTGAGTGACCAGGAAATCTGATGGAATTAGCCTCAAGCTGTGTTTCCATCGCCGCAGACAAACCTGATGGCTGTTTTTAGTCCTTCTGGCCCCCCTACTGAACCGGGCGTCTGTGGGTGACGGTGGTTCGTCCAGTCCCTGAACCTCTGACATAACAGCAAATTAAGTCTCAGCTGAACATTCGCGTCGTTTCGCATTTCACCAACACAGACCTCTTTTAACAAAGATTGTCAGGAAAAATATAACAGTGAAAAAAGACTTAATCTGATACAGTTGATAACATCATTGGATTATAAGCTGACACAAAATGCAGTTTCAAAATAATTCCACTTTTACAGGGAAATGCTATTAATTAGTTAAATCATTGTCAAACAATGAATACCCTTTTTTTTTTGTTAGATTGATTGGCACACCTGGGCCAATTACAAAGAGAGAAAACACTTAAAAAGAACCTGTCTGACAACATGAAGTAGGCTCAAACACAATGTGTGATGATTTAAATAAATTCAAAGATAAGAAAAATAAACACATGTCATATCAAAAAGACAAAAACAACCCAGCAGTAGCTTAACTAGAATTATTAGTCTGAGGAAACATCAACAGCTCATCCAGAAAATCTCAAAAGGAACCAAAGAAAATCTAAAAGTAGTGTTTATGTTTCAGCAATAAGAAAGAAGCTGTGCAGAAATATAGATTTCCAAGGCTAAAATCATAAAAAGAATTAAAAGACTCATCTTATATTTGAGAGTTTTCAGAAAGTACATAATTTATGATTATAATGTAAAGATGTTCACAAAAGCAGCATTGGCTTTTTTGGAGACAAAGTTTGCATTTATTTTGGTTCCATTTTTTTTTTTTATGAATACCTTTATGAGACTCTGGTTCAAGTAATAGAGGATCAGGATTCTTTTAAATTTGTAACCACTTCAGGTGTAAAAAAAAAAAAGGGAGGGAAGCTAATATTTTAACATTAGGTTATATGAAAATAAAAAATGTGCAAGTTACGATATTATGATGAAATGCGGTTTGATCTGTTTTGAAAAAAAATGTTTGAAGGACAATTGCTTCATTTATTTTAAAGTGAATATAAAAGAATTAAAGAAAAACTCAAATTAAAACAAATATCCAGGATGCAAAAAACAGAGAAAAGATTTAGCATATTTCATGCTATAATTTTAAACCAGGACAGAATGCCGACCCAAACACCTCTTATGAATCCACACAATCGACTGATTGGATGCATCCAAGAAGTAGACCAGACCCAGAAATGATCTGTGACTGATAGGTATTAAAAGCAGGCTTAATAAAAGCTTTTAATAATTTATTTTTAATTTTGGAAATGGTAAACAAGTGGTGAATTTTATAAAACCTCCCTTTACAGTAGTATTCTCTTGTCGTAATCACAGCAGGTCATCTTGTAATGCAACATCTGATTGTTTTATGTGAGTAATTTTGAAAGATTACAATAACAAAATTGCCGTTGTACACTGTACTTGCATTTAATATATATATATATTCAGATATAAATAATTTACATGATCGGTGCAAAGCAATTTGAAGTGCAGCTCTAGTGGTGATCCTGCTGATCTGTTCATTAAACGTACTCCAAGTGCTTTCTGAGCTTACGGTCAAAGCTCATCACCTGGTGGTGTGGTTCAGGCTGATGCTCCACCAGGAAGCAAAGGCTGGAGGACACCATGATCAGCCCAGCCACAAACAGGAGGAATCCCGCAGCCCAACCGATGAACAATGCGTCCCCAAACTCCCAGCGAGGCACCACCTCTGGCACCGTCTCATCAAAGAAATGCATCACCGCCAAATTGGCGATGTAAGACACGGGGACCAGACAGAGCACCCCGGACATCATCCCCAGAACCCCTCCTGTGATTTTTAGAGCCATCTTGGAGTTATGGCCGTTGTAGTTCTTGCAGTTGTTGATCAGGTGAAGCCCTGGTATGGCCACCAGGATTCCCAGCAAGGCCATGGCAACGGCAGTGCACATCAGGATACGGGCCAGTTTAAGGTGTCTAGAGAGGCCCAGCAGGCTGTCATAGGATCTGCACTCCGTGCCACCGATGTCCTGGACCACGCAGGTCTCCCACAGTCCCAAATCGTAGCTCTCTATCGGCAGCAGAGACGTGGACATGGTCAGCCACTGCGGCAGGATGGTGCTGGCCAGAGCGCAGAGCCATCCCCCGATGTAGACCAGCATCCCCAGCAGCTCCAAAACGCAGGCGGGCGAGTCCATGCTTCTCCCTGCCTCTCTGGCCTCCACACTCGAGAAATCCGTGAGAGTTCCCCTTCACCGGGTTCACGAGGGATGGAGAGGCCTCTTGATGTCCCGCTTTGGACAGAGGCTGCTCAAATTAGAGCTGACTGCCCTGGCTCTGGGCTTTTTCACAAACGCTTTCCACTCAGAGGAGCACACATCTTCTGATGCAGGAAGGAGAGGGGGCTTGTTTGGACCTCCCCTTCTGTGATCCCGCCGCCGTGCCAATGGGAAGCAGGAGCAGAGGCAGAGATGGCTGCGCTTAGATAAAGCCATTGTCACACATTTCCCTAAATTTCAAGCTGCAAGAAAGGCCTTACATTAAAGGAAGGATATCTGTCTGTATTATAGTAGAAAAATACTTCTTCCATGTCAGTTTTTGCATCCTTTATGTTTTATTCTGACTTACATTGATTTCAAAAGACAGAAAACTAAACAGTTCATCCTGCACATGTAAGAAGCCACTAACTCCAGATGTAAATCTCTCTAAGATTAATCAAATAAAATGCTTAATCAACTTAAACATGTTTAAGTATCAATATACGGTGCAAAGGCAAAGAAACTGGGTTGCAAATTGTGTCATGTTCATCAGTTTGGGCTAACAGCTTTTACAGTCAGGCTGCATGTGACTGAATGTGAAACAACAGAGCAGCTTATTGTCTCGTCTCTTACGAACACTGCAGAGCCTGTGGGAAACAATCGTAGGAGGCTGCAGATCAAAGCCGAGATGTGAGAAAATGTTTCCCGTTCTTAAGAACATTGTTTCAAACCGCAAACAAAAAGGCAATAAAATCCCCAGCTGAGCGTGCTCATGTCCCGACAAAGATTCGAACAGAATCAATCTCCTGGTGGAAGGAAAAAAAGGAAGCTGCTGTTTGTATCCTAACAGTGTGAGACGGACAGCTTCTGAAGAAACTTTCCCCAGCGTTTGAAGTCAGGAGAGGAGAGAGGAAACCACCGCTTCTTTGTTAGTTCCTTCTATGCTAATTGTTACATATTTTTCTGCTGCTTTAACAGAACCTTTTTGAAAAACAGAGGCGATGGATGGCATCTGGATCGTTGCAGTTCCTTGATTCCCTCACATGGGGCCGACAAACCTGTTTCCTCTTTCTGTTTGCTTCCACTGCAGTAAAGCTAATTACACATAGAAACCTAATTGTTAAGTTGTTAATTTACATTATTTATTTCAATTTGTTGGTGTTTATTTTTGTTTTTTAATGACTGGCATTAAACCAGACGAAAGCTTTACTGTTTTAAATCAGATATAGTTACCAAAGTTATTTGTAATCTCTGAATTCCAGAATATATATATATTTTTTTTTACTTGCTGAAATGATTTGCATGTTTCTTCTAACAGAGCATGTTTAGCTAAGTAGGTCTGCATCCAGTCTGGCCCACACTTTGCCAACAAATGTTTAAAGTCATAGGGAGGTCATATTTAAATGTCAAATCCATCCATCCACCCTTTATCCCAAGTGGGGTCATGAGGGGTGCTGGTACCTATCTCCAGCTGTCTATGGGCAAGAGGCGGGGTCCACCCTGGACAGGTCGCCAGTCCACAGCAGGGCAACACAGAGACAAACACTCACACCTAAGGAGAATTTAGAGAAGCCAATCAACCTAACAGTCATGTTTTTAAACTGTGGGAGGAAGCCAGGGTACCCGGAGAGAACCCACGCATGCTCAGGGAGAACATGCAAACTCCATGCAGCACCAAATATTTGTCTGATAAAGATGCTAACTTCAGTATTTTTTCCTTTGTTTACATCGCTTTTGTCTGCAGGCATATTCTCTTTCAGCTCCTAAACCTTTTATATCACCTGTAACTAAGCATTAGAGAAGTCATTAGTGACACCGCTTACCAGGGGCGTAGCCAAAAATCTTTTAGAAGGGTGGCCAGGCAATAACCAATGGTGGCCGAAAGCGGATAGGCACCAGAACCTCAGGGTCAATCTACACTGCTCCAACACGAAAATAAATGAAAAAAACATCCATATTTTCAAAACAAAGACAAACTATACTTTCCTACAGCCTTTGCCAACAAATAGACACATATATTTAAACATCTGTAATTTCTAGATAAAAGGCATAGTTTTGAGTTCTGGGGTGTAAATCTCTTCCATTGTCATTGCTTACCTACTTTTATCATAAATATTCTGCGTAAAATTGATATTTACAAGCGCTAATATATAAATAAATTGATTATTTGATAAGTTTTTATTAAAATTGTTATTTTATCTTTGATTTCACTGAAGACTCTTAGATGGTTTGCAGAGACACATAATTTTCTCTTTACCCCATATAACACAGAATCTAGTTCTGAAAAGAGCATGAATTCTATACTTATCTTTAATGTTAGTATATTTATGTGTAAAATTAACCACAAAATTTTTTTTTTTTAATACTCCACTTGAGAGTATTACTGCTGCCACCATCTATATTAGAGGGGGAAAAAATGGTAGGGGTGGCCAATGATTGGCTAAGGGTGGCCATGGCCACCCCTGGCCCCCCATCTAGCTCCGTCCCTGCCACTTACACAGTTTTATTTCCTTTCCCTTCCGATGCAAAAGCTCCCCAGGTGTTGCTGCCCATAACTAAAAGAGTTCCAGATTTTTATCTAAACTTTTTTGTCAACTAACGTATAATTTGACATGTTTCAGCTTGGAGATGAACGGTTCCTAAGAATATTAGGCAATTCTTATCCTCAGGGTTTTATCCTCATCCTTCCGTCGATCATCTACTGTAGAACAGGTTCTTGACATCAAGTAGTTATATATTATTTTTTTATTTAATCTGCCAAATCAGCTTAACGATCCAAATATCATCTAATCTCATTTACTTTGGTGTTTGGGAACTGATACAAATGCATGGCATGCAGGCTTTAAAGTCGTAGGGAAGTCATATTTAAATGTGAAATCATTCTGGCTTAAACATGTATATAAATGTACTCTTTATCAGACCACATTGTCCCAAAATTTCGAAAAGTTCTAATTTAAAAAAAAAAATCTTAAAATCTGTGGGGTTTTCTCATTATTTTATGCAGGCCAGTTAGTTAAACGTCAGCTTGTTCACCTAAATTCGGCCAGTCATATATAAACGGTCATCTGTCAATCAAATTTTTTTGGTCATAGCATCTTGATTGAAATGTCGCTGCTAATATACGCAACGGTTGAAATAAGAAGTAAGAATAATTTACTTTACCATTGAGTTACGTCAACTGGCAACTGAACAGAACTTCAAGCAGAACTAATTAACTTTAATAAAAGCTTTTCCGGATCCTTCTGGAGGTAAACAAACTGTTTATGCACTGATTACGTGTTTTCGCATTTCCTCCCACAGTCTGTGGCCTGAATGTTGTGCTTGCAAATTTGTCTGTCATAAGACGCATTAGACGTCATATATGTTTCACAATTTTACCATTTTGAGAATGAATGTATTAGTAACTGTAACCAGAGATTAAAGTTAATTAATCTCTTCTTTTATTCAAGAGTAAACAATCATTTCAATGGTCATCAAATGATAATCACTGATAATTTGCTCAATTACCAGCTACATTGTAATTTTACTTAAAAAATATTCTTGTAAAAGTATAGCTACTCTTACTTAAGTAAATTTTCTGGTTACTCTACCTATCACGAGTAACTTGAAAGTCAGGTGAAAATAAAATAAATATTCTCATTGGAAATTGTTCATTCTTTCCTAACTTATCCATTGATGTGGAAAAGTGCTTCTTCTGCACAAATTTTTTTATTTAATCAAGTTCTTGATTAGTTTTTTTTGTTGTTCTTTTTATTCTTTATTTAATTTTATGCTTGGAAACACAAGCTTTTGCTCATTACTCTGTATGATAATATTTTAAATATTAGCCCAGATGTTATGAGCCGATAATTTCTCGATACTTAAGCGGCCATTTTACCAAGTATGTTTTTACTCTCAATTGACTCATTGCTTAAACGTTTGCGGAAACATTTTTAAATTACTGGTATTGTTACTTGAGTGAAAATTTGGGGAACTCTACTTGGCGCTTATGAAACAAATGGCATCAATGTCTGTTTTTTTGTAAATTGTGCTCTAAAGGTATTTGTCTGGACAGTTTACCTGTAAGATAAGGGGAGTTTTGGGAGATGTCTGCTACCCTTTTCCTGGCCCTGACTTGAGTAAGTTGTTTATGGAGGGACGATCGACCCTAATAATCCAATCTGCAGACCTAGATGTTTATTTTAGTTTGTCCCATCTAGGTTTTCTTGTGTGCATTTAGTCTCAGTAGGCGTCTATCAGGGAGTTGTTTTATGCTCAGCTTGGCATGGTGAGTTGATAGAGTGGTCACATGACCACATTCCAAGAGTCAAGTCACAATAAATTCTCTAAGCTTTTGCCCAATGTTGGCTCCAAGTGTCACTGATACATCGCTGGTTCTTACATTTTTGGGATCTAAGTGTCATGGTCAGGTAAAAGATCATGGGTGGTTCCAAGGATAATGGTCAGGGTCTGGGTTAGGCCATGCAAATAAATGCTAAATAAGTAGAAGTCAGTGCAATGCTTTTCATTACACCAAAGCAGAAATCCAGGTGAAGTGGTGCACAGGTGCCCTGCTGGAGAAGTTATGGGATGGTTCCTGCAGATTATGGGCATATTTACTGGTTCTGTCCTAAATTGAAGGTCTTCTGGCACAATGTTAAGCAGATCATCTCTGAAACCCTGGACACAATGTTGAAAATTTCTTTCACCTCCTTGTACCTTGGAAAACTCCCTGAAGGGCTCAGTTCAAGTGACACATATTTACTAAAGATTTTCATGATTGCAAGCAAGAAGAAAATCACCAAATGCTGGCTCCAGTCAAGCCCCCCCCTACCTTGAGGCTCTTTATAAGCATTACACACAATCCATGAAATGGAAACATTGACTTTCTCCCTGACTCTCCAGAAGGAGAAAGGAGAAGGACTCTGGAAAAAATGGAACAGTTACTCAAAGACAAATTACTTTTGTGAATTGGAAAATATATCCGCCTCTTCTGACCGTTAGTTGTATCCCCTGCTCCTGGGTTGGGGTCTATGTGTGTTATTTTTATTCTTGTGATTCATACACTGATCTATATACTGTATGTGTGTGTTCTAGCACTCATCTGTTTGTTTTTTACCTTGTTCAAAAACTAAAAATAGTTTAATAATATAGTTAAAAAACAAAAAAACAAGGGTAA